CTCCCCCCTGCTACTCCCACAGTAAAGTAGAATGAAGAGCAGGACGGACAGAACATAAATGTGGTTAAGCATTATTGCTGTTATAATATGAAGGCTTTTAAGTGGCCTGTTAGCAAAGTATGACAGCAGTAGAAATTCTTGCTTATAGGTATTGAGAATCTGAAACAGTTTGTGATGCTCTATTTCTAGAGTATGCTGGGGGAAAATACTGTAGTTAAATCTAATGAATTATCTTAAAAAACAAACACCCACCCACCCCACCCCAAATCCCCAAAACAAAATCAAACCAAAAAACCCCTCTCCACTGGAGCCTAAGACATTCTACCTGTGGCTGAATATGATAGTATGATCTGTAGCAAAATAAAGCATCAGAATATCTGGTATGGGTTAACGTATTAGGTTTTACTGGAGCATATGAAATGTAAAAGTAATTTTGTTAACAGTATGCTTTAAAAGTATCAAGTTGTTTTTTTGTTTGTTCCCCCCCCTCTCCAGGCTGCTCCTAAAAATAGCAGAACAAATAAACCTTCTACTCCTACCACTGCTCCTCGAAAAAAGAAAGACTTGAAGATATTTAGAAATGTGGACAGTAATCTTGCTAATCTTATCCTGAATGAAATTGTTGATAGGTAAGTCTGAAGAAAAGTAGGCTTTTCAATGGAGAAAACCAATTTTTTGTTCAGTACAGTCTTGGTCCACTTAGAATGAAAATTACTACTTTTTGTTTGTTGTGGGTTTTTTGTGGGTTGTTTTGGGGTGGGGTTTTTTTGTTGCTGTTACTTTGGCAAAAGGATGAAAATTCAAATCAGAAATGCTTATCTTTTTAAATGCTTAGCAAGTTGTAGATTTCCTCAAAAGGGTTCTGCATAGTCAAATGCATTAAATTAGTCAGCTGCAGCTGAAAAAGAGTATCTCATTGTTAGACTAATTAGTATTCCATTTCTTTTGTTAGTGGGCCAGCTGTCAAATTTGATGATATTGCAGGGCAGGAACTGGCTAAACAAGCTTTGCAAGAAATTGTTATCCTTCCTTCTCTTAGACCTGAGGTAAGCAACTGGGTTTTGTTATCACTGTGTCACAGAATTGAAGAAATGTATTGTGCTTCACACATGAAGTGGTGATTCTTGAATCCTGTCTTTACTGGTTATGACTGTTATGGATAGCTGTGTGGTGATAGCCATCTTGGAAAAGGAGAATGAAGAATCTGTGTCTTAAAATACTACCATGAAATTCCTTGTCTTCTGGTTAGTCAATGTTGGAGGAAGTGACCAAGGCAATAGCTTTAAAAAACAAAAACACCCCAGCAAACCACAAACCCCTAAAAAATCAAACCAAAAAAAACAAACCAAAAAAAATCCTGAAAATTTGTGAGTTGACGATTCCAGATAGCTATAGCTGTGTGTCCAACCCTCTATGGACACGTAAAAGACAAAGCCCATAATTGGAAGAGTGAAACAGATGAGATTTGCATAGGTAAATTAAGTCACGACACTATCTGATTTGAAAAATATTAAATTGGTATTGTGGTCATGTTCTCTGTGTGGATGTTGGTTAGACATTCTGAATAGTCTATTCACAGCAGGAGAGGATGCCAAGAAGTGTAGTAGTGAACAAGCAAGTATACTGAGGCATGTAACATTTGAGGGCAGATTTCCTCTTTACTTGGCTGAGTGGAAATTGGTCATTTAGGCTTTTATTTTATTTATCATAGGTGGTACCTCAACTACTGTGACTGCCTAGATTCAGGTCTGGGCTATATACTACTGGAATTTTCTGAGCCACTTTTTTAAAAAATTAAATTGGTCATTTTCTAAAGCTGGACTTGCTAAAAGTTGCTGAACTCCTGCAAAAATTGCATGCAATGATTTACTGCAGTGCTGATTATTCAAGCAAAATTACTGTTTGTTTGCTTGTGGGTCTCTTCTGTCACGTTGATGGGTGACTGGAGTTGCTCTGTGGTCTTCCTCTTTCCTTTAATGCAGTTTCTCGTTCTGAAGCATTGTGGGGAAGAAACCCTAAACCTGGCATAGCATCATAGGAGTACTAGCCCTGAGGAAAACAAAGCTTTGGCATCAAATATGCATGTTCTGGTATTCTTACGCAGAAGGAAAATGTCATTGTACCGTCTCTGTTATTACAGTGCTTTAGTATGTTGTTTGTTGTTCAGTAACACTAATACAATGAGCTGGGTGGGAAGGACTTTGAGATGTGAGGCTTGGAATAGTTATGACTTTTCCAATAACAGTTGATATTTTCAATAAGGTCGTCTTCTTATTGCTGTAGCTAGCAATGAGCCTGACCTTGGTGCAGGTTGAGATATAACAAGGACAGAGAATCCTGCGAATTTTTAAACATTCCTTGGAAGACAAGAGGTTGGTTTTATTCCTTGTAAATGAACATGGTAGATGTGGCAACTATAGGGGAATATTTAGCAAATTAAATACTACTTCAGTTTTAACCTTAATGAGTTTTGAACTCAAATTCTTATTTAAACAAGCCAATTAATGGTATTTTTGTAGGAGAGCAAGAGTTGAGGTGAATAAACAGAAAACACTGGCTGCAACCATTTCAGCAGTAAGATGCTAATAAACTGGTAGCAATTAGTCCAGACCATGTTTAGTATAATTAGCCTGTTAACAAAAACTTTAAAAGCCTAGTATGTCTCAGTGATAAATGGCAGTTGCAGCTGAACTGTGTAGGTGACGATCAAGGTGAGGGAGAGTTGCAGATTTGGTCTGGACTATCTGAAAATGGTGGAACTCGCAAAGAATGATTCCAAACAAAAGAGGTCAGGCAGGAGATGCACATGGTGGTGTGCAGCATGGAAAGCAGAAACACTTGAGGAATGTACTCATCCAGGTTAAAACGCTGCAATACGTTTGTAACGTGGGTGGTATGTATTAGTGAATAGGATCACACTGGATAACTATTTTTAGCGATCAAAGTCAAGCACAAACAAAATGCTGTGAACGATGAAATAATAGAGAAAATGCATGTTGGTCGGTCGTCTTAGAAACAGTACACTGGTAATGGAGCCATTTGTTATCATGGATATTGTGGAAAGGAGTGCATGCCGACAGTGGTGTTTAGACATGGTGTGTGTATGTAAGAGACTCCCTACTATTCCTTTTGGTTGGTTGTTGGAATTATTGGAAGCTGGAATGGAGGGGTGAGTGCGGGACCAAAAAAGGAACTCCAAAACTCTTGAGGAAAGTGGTAAAGATGAAGCGCTGGGGAAAACAGGCTACGGGAGTAACTAAAAGAGATGTACTCTATGAGAATTTGTAGATCTGCTTGCTGTGATGCTACATAGATGGGTGCAGTTTTATAGCGTAGGAAAGATGAATCCAATGCAAAGTGAGAGGGAGGAGATTATTATTAGTAGCATTTAGAGAAAGTAGGTGGTTGTTAAGTAATATTTTTAAACAGTTTCGGTCAAAGCTTGTCTTCTCAAGTTTCATTTAATAAAAAAAAGGGAAAGATGAAGGGGTTCTTCCATATGGAGTTAGTGGGAACATTGCTTTAACTCTCTTACTACACACCTGCATTCCCCCCTTTTTTGCAGTTGGTGCTTCAAACTTGTTAGGCTGGTCTGTCTTGTGGGATGTGTTACTGCCTCTTATACTCCTTTCACAGTGCCTCTATGCACAGAATGATCATGACGTAATGTAACTGTTGTTTGGGAAACAATAGTGATGTGCCTTAGGTCGTTAGTAATAGAATGTAGTTCTCTAAAAACCTGTACTGTTGTAGTACTGCTACTATTGCTACCACTGCTAGCCAGTGAGCAATCTTAAATCGTTTTCTTACGAAGGTAAATCAGCAGTTTCTTTAAGTCTTTGAAGGTCACTTATGATGATGTACCCTTCAGTTATTTACAGGACTTAGAGCTCCCGCACGTGGTTTATTGCTGTTCGGCCCACCAGGAAATGGGAAGACAATGCTGGTGAGAAAATTACTTCATGCATGAGTTGGTGTATTAAAATGTAACCATGAGGGGTGGCTTTCAGTTTGGGTGTTGGAGTAATAAACTGTATAGTCTTCCTGGATGTGTTATGGTGCCAATTTAACACAAAAATGCAAAATTGTTCTTAAGTGTGGATTTTACGAGGGAGGGAATTGCTAAACTATTCTCTGTTTAATTCTTTTCAATATCGCAAGTAGTATTTTAAAACTTAAACCGGCAAGTCCAAGTTTCATTTTCAGAGAGAGTAAAAGTAACATGGTTGATTGTTTGTGTACAGCAGTGATTAATCACAAATGGTCTGCTCTCCACTAAAACATACTGGAAGTGCATTTTGGAAATGGGGAAGGAGCACAGTAGCAAGAAAGGGGGTTGTCTCAATTCCACACTGCTGTGCAAAGAGCATAAGTGCTGTGGAATTGTCTGGCTGCTGCTTGTTTTCTCAGCCTGATGTGCTAGATTCGGGGAACTGGAGTGAAATGGCTGTGCATCAGCCAGGGAGCATCGCGTGTCCTGATGCAGCTGAGCTGGGCGCATCGTCCTGCATCACATGGCGTGGCTGCAGCTGCACGCTCCCTTTGCTGATACTGAAGCTGGATCAGCTCTGAAGCGCAGGAGTGTGAATATTGAGCAGCTCACTTGGGCTCATCTGTTGCGTTTTACGTACTGGAACATCATTGCTAATCACTAAAATTAAACTGTATAACCAGGGAATCATAATTTTTTGAATATGGTGGAACTGTTAAAGAAGAGGGTACTCTGTATGAGCATTCTGGCTGAACTGATTCTTTTTCCTAGCTTTCCTCTGAAAACAGTTTTTGTATAGATAGGGTAAGGAAGAAGAAAACCCCATGATTTTTAATGTGATTGATCCAACTGCTGCCCTAAATTACTGCCCTAAATTACCACCCTAAATTAGTTAAAACTGTTTCAGATGTCTACTCAGGATACATTGAAAGGAGCTGGAGACTTGTATTCTTCAGTAAGCAAGTTGTAGTTGGCTATGGAGATGATGTGATTAGAGGAGTTTAAGGGAGTCTGGAAATTTCTCTAGTTGTTCAGCTGCTTATCCGTTCTTATTTGTAAGTGGCCTGTACAGAAGTTCTCTGTAGCATCTACAAGGTGTTCCCTTTGAAGGAACAGGGGTTTCCAAAATCGTCAATCAGGACATGAGTGCTAGCTACAGAAGCAGAGAGGTATCTTCAATGCAATGTTTTAAAAAATACTTTTTTTTCCCCCCTCTCCTAGGCCAAAGCAGTTGCTGCAGAATCAAATGCTACTTTCTTTAATATAAGTGCAGCAAGCCTAACTTCAAAATACGTAAGTAGCAGCTGTAAATTATATTGATCTGAAAACACACATGCTGTAATTGGGGCTTAAGAAGGCCAGAGACTTCTGATGAGTCCCTGGTGAACTGTTAGCCTATAGTGAATGTAAGTGACTTGCGAAGTAAAAAATTTTTTTATGTGCTTGTGATAACTCAATGTCAAAGGCTTTTGCAGTTCAGGATGACCCTGGCTGTCATATAGATAAGTGGTTGTGGGTTTTTTCTTCTTTAAAACATAAATGAAGTGGGTCCCAGCTCCCTTTCGCTCTGATAATTTAGGCACCAAAATTTCTTGACAACTCAATTGTGATCATAAGTGAAGTTGCGATGTTTCCTTTAAGACATAAACAATACTGTCATATGTAATACTGAACTAGCGATAATCTGAGTGTGTATGAATGGACTGAGTGTGGCTGGTTATCAGCAAGATTTTCTGTAGGTCCTTATGTTAGCTCTCTTGTAATAAACACTTTCTAGACACCCTCTAAAACCAGTTTATTGTTGTTTTAGGTGGGTGAAGGGGAGAAACTGGTGCGTGCTCTATTTGCAGTAGCCAGAGAACTACAGCCTTCTATAATTTTTATTGGTAAGACCTTAAATATTGTTGACTTTTGTGTATTTTCTTAAATATTTTGACTTACTAAATGGAATAATTGGGTAAACTTCTTTGGGTGATTCTGCAGTGCAGAGCAAGTGTTTCGGATGTGACCTGCTGGCTAATCAGTAGTTCCGTATAGAGCATGTTACATTACTGTTATGTTATTTAATTGGTGTTAATAGTGGGAAGAAATGCCCTTAAAAAACAACTGCTGTACTACCTTTACAGAGTAAGTCCATTTATGTATTAAACTTCAAACATGAAAATGGGTTTTGCTTGTCCTGAGTTGCAGTTAATTATCAGCAGGATTTTTTTCTCTCATCTGTGCTTGGTGTTACATATTCAAAGGGCAACACGTTATACAAGCTTTTAAACTTAGTTACTAAGATCTGTCTGTCTCCTACTGAATAAAGATCTAATCTCTCTTACTGGAACCCTATGTTAGCAGAAGAACTTAGGCAAATAGGAAGACCTTGATGTTGTATGCTTAATTGAGATGTACTTCTTTGTTTTTTAGATGAAGTTGATAGCCTTTTGTGTGAAAGACGAGAAGGTGAACATGATGCTAGTAGGCGTCTAAAAACAGAATTTTTAATAGAATTTGATGGTGTAAGTATTTAAGTCTTGGGTATTGTTTGATTTAGCTGAATTGGCTAATGTAGTGGGTGCCAGTACAAGCTACAGATGAAGCACAAAGAGGATTTGGCTGCTGGGGCTTAGCTCTGTCCCGCTCCCCCCCGACCTTGGTCGGCAAACAGCTTTTTTCTATTGCTGTTAATTTTTCACCTGCTTACTGTAGTATTCTGGAAACCAGCCTGGGGTGAAAGGTGGTAATCTGGAGATGAGGTGAAATAATGGGTTGAAAGACTGGACAGAGAAGAAAGGATAACAAGTGGCAGTAAAGGAGCTGTGAGAACAAATGTTCTTGCAGGGCAAGAGGACCACTTGAGGGTTAGTCAGAGTTGAATCCTTGTTTGCATGTTTTGGTGAAGCACACCTCTTCATTCTGGCAAAGTAAAAGAAGATTAAATGGCTTTTAAGTAGTGTCTTTTTGGTTTTTAAGGGATATGTGTCACAAAAGCACTGTCAAGGGTTAGGGCGAGACTTTGAGGGATAAGGATTTCAAACAGACTAGTTCAGATCATGGTTATACACAACTCTGACACATCAGAAGGATTAATTTCTGTGTTAGTATGCTTTTTATTGAGCTATAAATTTTTTCTGGGCATCATGACCTAGAGATGACAGGATACAGTAAGAATATATTTAATAGCATGTATGTCATATCCAGGAAAAGGAACTGGGTTTCATAGTTGGGGGGGAACAAATGAATGTCAGAATATTTTTTTGTCACACAGCACTGTTTTTCGTATTGAACAATCTTTGTTTATATTCCACTAGCACAGTGGAATATTGCTACAGTGGTGAAGCAATAGTAACGAGGTACAGGAGAAGATAACTATATAGAGAGACAATGAGATCAGGAAAAACTTCTCCAAAGTGGGATGAATCAGGACAAATAATGCAATGTGATAACGATATTCAGAAATTATTACACAAACACACATTTTAAGTTTTCTCTTAAAATGAAAAGGAGAAAATTAAACATAATTAGTAAGTTAGTTACACCTTGATCCAAAGTTTGCTGTATCATACAATATTTTTGTGGAGCTTTTTGGACTCTGTAAGGCAGCAATGAACTTAAGTCTATGAAAGATTGGACACTAGGTGAATAATAACACATCTCTGATACCCAAATGTTTTCTCTGAAGTCTGGAAGCTGTAAATCTCCATATTCTTGAGTATAAAATCAGGTCTTGCAATTGAGTGAATTGGGGGGGGAAATTACTGTGTCTGTGTACTATTGAATAGCTTCTCATTTTGATTACTCGCTTCTTGCGAGACCCGTATTAGATGAATCTCTGATCTCATTTAGTGGTTCTGGCTGTACCTTAGTCTAAAGTTTGATTCTCTCTTTCTTTGTAGGCTTCAAAACAATATTTGGTGTTAAAACCCACAACAGCAGAAAGTCTCTAGCTTTTTAAACATAATTATCTCTGGATGACTAAACTTCTGAGTGCTTTTTGTAATCTCAGTTTTCTCCAGCATTGTAACATGCAATTCCACAGCAACATTTGTGCTCTTGCAAGACTCTCTTCAAGCAACATAACTTGGGCATAGTGTCCTGTGTTTACATTCCTTCTTTTTCTTTTTTTTTTCTTTTTACTTTTTCCTAGTTTGACTTTACATTTATCTAAAGAATGTTTTAAAGCTAACTGCATTGGAAAAAAAAAAAGCATAGACAGTAAGATCCCATCAGTGTGCTGAATACACAGTAAGTCTCTTACTGGTTTTGTTGTATTACTGCTTGATGTAAACTGAAAGCTGTCTTGCCTTTCTACGTTACATAGGTGCAGTCTTCTGGAGAGGACAGAATACTTGTGATGGGAGCAACAAACAGGCCACAGGAGCTTGATGATGCTGTTCTCAGGTATCAAAACGTCCCTTCCTTTCTTTGCATACAATAATATGATGCTCATTATGAATTGCAAGGTTTGCTACTTAATGTCTTGGTTGTTTTAAGTTTTGGAGTAAGCTGTTCGGCAAGGTTAAATTATTTAACCTCTCAAAGAGGTGCCTGACTCTTCTCTTTTGGGATACATCTGCACAAGCGTGATGGCCTTGGGACTATCTAAAACAGCAGTACCTGTTGAGCTCAAGTCAGCATTTTATAACCCTCTTGCATCTTATATATTGCTTTTTTTATTATTTGGATCTTAATGGCAGGATGAAGGAAGAAATTTGACCAGTGAAATCCAGTATTTATTCTCTGTGAATATTGGACTTCAGATGTCCCATGCAATTACAGATCTTGCTGTAGATTTGCCTTAGGACTTTTTTGCTACAAGTTCTCATACTTTCTTCTCTTTTCATTCTTGGTTGAGGAAAACGGGCATGTCAGCACTGTCTGGACAAATAAAACACATCTGTAATGATTCCAAAGACTTTTTGTGTACAGTGAAGAGATGCTTCATTTTGTTGGTGGTAGTCAGTGGTTTTTCTACCTTTCGAGTGTTTCCTCTCTGGGAGGAGTCTCATAACTTCACATAAGAGTAAGGTGACACCAATGGCTGGTGCATATTGTTTGTTTGCTTCTTGGTTGGGGTTTTTGTGGTTGTTTGGGTTTTTTTAAATCTGTAGTTCTACTCCCTAGAATTTGATGATGTAAGTAAAATTTTGACATTTATCAAATCAAATGTTAGGTCTGTATGCGCTGAAAAGTTACAAAAGTGTGTGTGTGTGTTTATATATGTTTTGTGGTTTGGTTTTTTTTTAGACGATTCACCAAACGGGTATATGTGTCTTTACCAAATGAGGAAGTGAGTATTGTTTCCCATGCATTTTCTTCATTTTAAGATCAATTTTATTAAAAAAGAGTATAAAATATATTTCATAGGCTATTCTTAACTTGGCCTAGTGGATGATTACAATTCTGTGAATTAACTTCTGGCCCAGCTTGGCCATATACACTGTGCTTTAATTCTGGCAACTATCTTAAGTTTTTGCTTTTTTTTTTTACATGTGCTAGTGGCAAATCTGGTAGCAGCTATGCAGTATTTCTTGGCTAGTGAGGTGTTGCTTACATACTGGCAGGCATGGACAAGTCTGAAGTAGGGCTTGCAGGAGCATGTTTGGTTGGCTGGAGAAGAGTGTTTACTGCGAAAGATGAAAGTGACTTTCTTAAAGTAATGTTTTTCGGCTCAACAGCAGATTAGGGCTTTTGATGAGGATTCTAATGTATTATTCTTTAAGTAGTTTGACCCTTGATCTCATTGTTACCAAATCCCTGTCTCTTCCCCTGAAGAGATGATAGTGTACGGTCTAATCACAAAAGCACTATAGGCAAGTTTAAACTAGTGAAGCACGAAAGCTAACCTGACAAACGTGTAGTTTTGTTGTTGCAACAGAATTTTAAGTGTACCGTGAAAAATGAGTTTTACATCTGATAAACGTATCTTCTTTTCAGACAAGATTGATTTTACTAAAAAATCTTCTAAGCAAGCAAGGAAGTCCGTTGACCCAAAAAGAGTTGGCACAACTAGCTAGGTAAGTATTTTGTAACTATACTAAATAAATATACTCGTCTACTGTATTCTTTCAGGCTGTTTTATTCATTCAAAATGCAACTAATGTAAATCATCAGGTAGTGACAACGCTTGCTGAGAATGAATTGCATGTGTTTTGGGAAGATGGTCTCTTGTCAGGCTGTGTGAAAGTGTTTTTATATATATAAAGCACATATATGTGTGTGTGTGTGTGTGTGTATATATATAAAAAATCCCTACACCACCTGGCTAGGTTTCTGTTGTTGAAACGTGCTCGTTAGTGCTTTTCTTTCTTTCTGAGGAGGGAGGGGGATGCTTCTCTCCACCCATCCCCGAAGCAGTCTAGCTCTCCTTCCTGATGCAAAAAGGCAGTACCAGTTTTGCACTTAGCATGCATTTCGAATCAAAAGCAACTTTTCTTTGCTTGTCCATTGCTGGGTTTGTTGAAGGTATTACCAACATAGCAGAGCTGGTATGGATATTTTAGATTCTTTTCAATTTCATATTTGATTGGGAAAATGTGGGTTAAGTGCCCTTCCTATTATGAAACGAAGTTGTTTTATGTCTTTCATCATTAAGATTGACACAGTACTGCTGTTTGTCACCCTCAGAAATTAAATGTAATGGGTGTGAAGGAAGTTAGACTAAAAAGCAGGTAGAGCACCTAGGGCAGGAAGGAATGAAAACAGAGCGTGAGATACCAAAAATATGCAAGTGGATGTACCTCAGTCTCTGTTTCACTTTGTGGTAGTACACAGGAGGTGAGTACAGTCTTGGATGTAGCATTTGTCAGCTTCTTAGTAACATCACAGAAATTTGATGTATAATCCAACTGAATAAATGCTCTTTGTACTTGAAGGATGCTAGCTCAGGCTATGTTTAGGCTGCAGTAATAGCTAACTGGAGGAAAAAGACTGTGTCTTGGATTCTAACTGCAAATTTATGAACCAAATTACAAATGCAACTTAATTACACTTTTTTTAAAGGCTTTAGATAAAATATAAAAGTTGAGGGTCCTGCCTGCTTCATCTGCCATCTTTCTTTGTTTTGAAAGAGAGAGGTATTTAACCTCCTTCGTGATTTTGTGTTCTTTTGCTCCACTGCAACTTTTCCTATAAACTACGACAGAATTAACAGTCTCCAGAAGACTGAGCTATGAAGCTCTTGTTGCTGCAGCTAGCCACTGCTCTACAAGCAGGGTGGGGGGTTTTTGTTTTTAAATTTTTCTTTAGGTAACCCTTACTACTTCTTTTCACTTACCTTGGCAGTATGTATTGGTGGCTTCCTGTTTCAGTGGAGACCTTTAACCTGCAAAGTATTTAATTTGTTAACTTGGACATTAAGTCTAATTCTGGAGAAGCTCCCATAGAGGTTGGGTTCTTGGTTTGATTAGTTTTTTTTTTCTTTGTGGTTGAAGATTTGGATGATCTGTATGTCTGCCAGTCTTATAATAAAAAACCCTCAGTAGATAACAACACAATTTATCTTCCGTTCAGTTCACTTATGGAATACCTGTACATTTACACTATATTGTTTCCCAAATCAATGGGAAGCGTGTCCAAGATAAACATATAGAACCTGTTTCTTTCTGAATAAGGACCTATCCACTGTATTTCACTTCCAAGGTGAATTATAATTCTTATTTGAAGCTAAATGTGTGAAGTGTTCAGGCTTCTGCAGATAACCGCTGAGGCTGTGGCTCAGGTTGTTGCAGCCATCTCAAGTCCCTTGGTTGGTTGTCGGTCATTAGCAATTCCTGGTTTAGGCTTTAATGTTGGAATCAGTTGGTGAGTCAGACTTAGCTGTGCTAGAGATCATTTTCCATGTAGAAACTATAGGAGGCTGTTTCAGTACTCTGCTAAAATGCAGACTGTAAATTCGGAGAGTTGAGAAGCTTGCCAAGTGCTCTGAGAGTACAGTCTATCTGTTACCAAACCTTCAACACTGAAAAAGGTCTTCCACCAGAAATAATGCTGTCTGTACTGTAACTTGCTAAGCAAAGCGGTGCTGCTTTTCAGATTTGTATTTACTCTTCTGGATTAGTAGAATTCTGTACTCCCTGGAGTCCACTGGTCAACTGCTACCATGGCTTTCCATTAAGGGCATTACTGCAAAACTGTCACTTATTTTCAAAACCAAACACTACTGTTAGATATATATTTTTTTTTTTTTTTAGTAATGCCTGCTTTTGCCCTTTGTCTGGCTCTGATGTCAACTACAAGTGCAGAGTTTTATTTAGTAGACTGGTCATGTGATCATACCTTAATAAATGTGTGGTATTGGGTTCTCATTGTATTGATTGGGCTGAAAGAGTACAGGACAGTTGAGGTTTTGGTTTTATAATCTATGACAAACTAGTGGTAGGGCATTCTCGTAACAGAAATAGTAAACGTGCTTGAGGTTAGTTTTCATCTACAAATTCAAGTTGTTTGCTATCTTTTTGCTTTTCCTAGAATGTTATTTGGGATTTGAATATCTGTACTTCAAATTTAATCTGAGAAAGACTTAAATATAGAACACTTAGCTGATTTATTAAACTTGCAAAGTAACATCAAAATAATACTTTTTCTGATTAAGTAACATTTTAATCATCTTCAATTAAATTGATACGGTTTGAAGCAGGTGGCTTTTTTTTCTTCCTCCTTTCCCCCACTTTCTCCTTTGACAAAGAATGACAGATGGGTACTCTGGAAGTGATTTAACCGCATTAGCAAAGGATGCAGCGCTGGGCCCTATTCGAGGTAAGCTGCGTAGCTTTTTATTTAGGTTTTGAAAAAACTCAGTGCCCTTGATATTAGTGATATTATATTTTCCTACATCTTTAGATTTCTTAGACCTCTGAAATTAAGCTTTTTAGATTGGATTTTGGTCTGTTCCTCATGATAGCGTCTTTATAAGACTTACCTTGCACAAAACCCTTCAGTACCTCACCATGTGAAACAGACAGTTTTTGTGTCTTAAGAGGAAAGCAGGGTGAAGTGTTTTTCACAGATTTGTGGGTTTTTTAACTAGTTCATCTTTCCTAGGCTGGTGTCAGTTCTGGTATATCTAATTATTACTTAAGTAATGCAGTCCGAGACTGCTATTTGTCTTTATAAAGTGGGCAGACTTCTTTCAAGTCTAAAGGAAGGAAATACTGAAACAGAAGCAATTTTGTGTTTTGGGGTTTTTTTAGATATGGTTTGAATGGCATAGCTTTTTTTATTTTTAAATCTTCTTAATGTTGAATTGTGATCCAGATGACAATTGTGACTTAAGTAGAGTTTTACCTGTATTTGTTCTTCCTCTGACATTTCCAACTTCGAAAAAAGACAATTTTAATGCAAAGTGAGTACTTCTTTCCAGCGCCCCTCTTTGCTGTTTCACTAGCTAGTTATGTGTCCAGTAGCCACATCTGAAGGGGCTGATTTTGTTTCGTGGAGATCAGTAGTGGAATTTTGTGAAGAAAAGATTGTGAAGATTTGATGTTAGTTTTCTGTTTGCAGATACATTGTCCTACCTGGCAGAAAGGTACAAAGGCAGGCAGAGCAGAAGTGTTCTGTAATATCAGCCTATTACATGTAAATAAAAGTTGTTGCAACTCTCTTAAATGATTTATGGGAAGGAGAGGTCTGTGCGTGTTTTGTGGGTGTGGGTTTGTTGGTTTTTTTTTCAATTGAGTCAAAAATCCTATAGCATGCAGTTTTGCCAGTGCGCCATCTCTTTGAAAGCAGCTGCTGGAAAGTAATGTTTTTTTTCCCACTTACTTTCAGCTGTTGAGACTGTAAGGCACATCTTCCAAAATCCTGCATAATAACTGGGAAACAGAATTGCATTAAATAGCTCTCACAAGAGACGACATGTCTCCTAAGACTTTGAATATATTTATTTAGAGTGGTTGAATTGATAATGTATGCATTTAGGCATGCAGGTTTTACTTGGCTGATGAATCACGTCACGTGCAAGTCCATTTTGATAAAAGACCATGAAATGTTTTGCTACCTATTTCTTCCACCTGCTCCTGGCTTCCATATAAAACAATTTATTTTTTAAAATGTTTTTTAACATCAGCCATGCCAGTCCTGCCTAGATTCTTTTTCTTGCACCCTCAGAGCAAGAAGTTTGCTGTAATATGTTGATACTGTAACAATATTACAAGTAAAAAAAAGGTGAAATGGTGAAGGATACGGGAATGATTAGATCCCACCAGTACTGCACAGGGCAAGAAGCACTCTTGTGTGCCCTGCCTGATTTTTATGTCTGTATTCTTGGCTGACGCTACCTTTCTGTTTCCTGAAAATTGTACCTGTTTGAGCGGTTAAGGGGGTTGTAGGTACCAGGAATAATATGGGGGAAGGCAGCTCTGTTAAGCTTGTGTGCTGTTCCCCATACTTTAGGAAGAAGAAAGTAGTTCTGCTACCAGTTTGTACTGTATCTGCAGTGATTGAGTGTGGGAGCAGCCTGGTTGAGGAGCTGATAAATGGGGAAGAAGGAGGTAGAAACACCGTGTATCTTTCTGTACGGGAGATGATGGTTGAGGCAGAGAGGTATAATTTTTAGCTGTGGGGTTTTTTTCAGAATAAAAGTGCTTTCAACATGCTTTAGTTGTTAGAAGTGATGAAAGTTTTCTTATGAAACTCACTGATCTTCCTTTACTTTTACAGAATTAAAACCAGAACAGGTGAAGAACATGTCTGCCAGTGAGGTATGCTGTTCTAGCATTGTATTTTCCCCTTGGAATAGAACGCATGCTCACCAGAAACTTTTACGGTCCTTTTATTTACACATAGTATCATACAAAATACCTAGCATAATTTTTTGGGTGTATTACCCTTTTTGATTACTACTTCATCGAAGAAAATTCTTTTTAAATAGTGATTGAGAAGAAAATCTGTCCTCAGATGTCTGAGGTTCTTTGTGTAGTTTGTTGGTTATCAGGCTTAAGAGCACCTCTTTTTCCGATAGTAAGTCTCTGCTGTTCCTAGTTTCAGCTGACTGTCCTATTTTTTTCCTTTGCACCAAACTGCAACTTGATCTGTTACCTGTCAGATGATGCCAGAGGCCTGGCTTTTATTTTCTCGCAGTGTTATTCCCGCAAAACATTCCCAGAAGTATTATGTCAAATGATTTATTTTATTTCTTACCCCCCCAGCCCCCTGTCTTTACATAAAGCAAGTCATCTTAGGGAGAACCTCTGAGGGATTTTAAAACAGATTTGTTTGTGTATATGTATAATATTTACATTCATTCACAGGGACCATCATAAAGGAAAAAAAAAAAAAAAAAATTACATTAAGTTCCTCACCACAAATTGCATCTGTAAACATCAAAAGAAAAGGAAGAGTTTGGTCCTGCTTATAAAAGTTTCTGTTCAAATGTGTGTGCAAACCACAGTTATGTAGGGGAAAATGAAGCAAAACTTAATTCCCCCGTTGCTTTCTGTGTTTAGCCTGAGATCATGGCTAAGGCTATGATAAGCTGAAAGGATTTGTAGCAGGAAGATGAGAACATCTGTGATAATTTGTTGTGAATGCAAGTTTACCTCCAATAGTCTGTAAATACTAGTCCCAAAGAAACATGGGGCATCGTCTCCAATTGTAATGTTAATACTCCTTTAATAATGAGACTGCTTGTTCCACACACTTTGGTTATCTCCCATCATGTCTGGGCATTTCTCTGTATGGGAAATGTCGGCTTGTAATTGTGTCCTCAGCAAAGAACTGAAAGGCATGTGTTGAATCAGAGAGGTTAGATAACTGGGGTTACTTGGCTGACAGCACACTACAGTCTGAATACAGTTGTGTTGTAAGGGCGGGAACTTTCAGTGCCTTACTCTCCTGGCATGCGGAGGTATGCCATAAACATGTTAAAAAATCCCATGTCTTACTCTTTACTCAGTCCTGTGTCCTTGTGCACCAGCTTGCACCACCTAGTGAAACAGGAAGTAATAACGCAATCTCATGGGCTATTAAATAACAAGGCAGACATTATGATTACCAAATGTTAGTTTATTAAAAACGGTAAATACTGATAGTCTTAAATTACAAGACTCTTGCATCAGGTCATAGAATCACAGAAGAGCCCAGGTTGGAAGGGACCTTGAAAGATCATCTGGTCCAACCTTTCATGGGAAAGGGAGCCTGGATGACATTATCTCGCACCCTGCCCAGTCGTATCTTGAAAACCTCCGGCGATGGGGACTCTACCACGTCCCGGGGGAGGTTGATTCCAGTGAACGACTGTTCTCACTGTAAAAAATTCTTCTTATATCAAGACGACGCACTCGTAGAATACGTTTTGTTAAAAGCGAATACTGAAGCACTTCTTGAATAAACTGAAGTACATAAACCACTTGTGATCCTGATGTCTTTCACTTTTTGTTTAGATGAGAAATATCAAACTATCAGATTTCACTGAGTCTTTGAAGAAGATAAAGCGCAGTTTGAGCCCTCAGACCCTGGAAGCATATATTCGCTGGAACAAGGACTTCGGAGATACCACAGTGTGAAACACTACTTGAAGTGAAACAAAGTGCTGCCTAAGAAGCAATTGGTACAGACGACTGGAAAGCAGCCAGAGTTTACAGGACTTTACAGATCTTCAAGTATCTGCATTAAAACTTGAGATTAAGAAAAAATTACACAATGTGAAATGTGTTCATCAAAGCCTCCTTGCCATTTAGTGAGGATTTACAGTCTGTAAGTAAGAGCACAATAGGACTTGAGATAAGATTCCTAGCAATCCGATTATGGTTTGAACAATAATATATGTCTTTTGTTTCAGCTAGAAGGCTCTGATGATACTGATCATTGGAAAACCTTTTCCCTATGTTGTGTGTGTGGTTTTTTGTTTTTAATTTTGCCATGACACTGATGTCTGGCTTTCTTCCTTATAACTACTAACTTACAATGGGAGGTTTGTAAACCTTGGTTCAGTTTTTGACTTTTTTATCCTTAATGTGCCAAATAAAACAATTTCCCTATGCAGAGAGGAAGAACAGCACTGGGGAATTATGATTATTAAAATGTAAAAAGCAGCTGGTCTGTTATTATTAGTCTTTTTGTTTAGTTGTAATGTGACTGTATTGTTCACAGAACAGTTTTAAAGAAGACCTTTGATAGCAGAACAGCAAAAAACCCCAACCCTATAAAACCAATTCAAACTGTCTTAAAAAAAATAATAAATTACTAAACAAAAAAATAGACTAAGACATTCATTTACGGGCAGTATTTTCTCTTACCACATTTTGTAACACTTCCATTGGTAGAATGTTAGCTTACGCTTATGGTGTACAACTTGAAGCCCAGTTGATGTTTGAGAGAGTAGGTGATGCTCATTGTCAAGTTTCAGAAATGATGTGTTTCTACTCTGTGTTTTGGTCTGTTTACGATAATTGAAAGTAAAATTTCCATTGTGATAATTTTTTTAATCTACACATGTAAGCATTAAAATATGAGGCTACATGTTTAATTCATGGCACACTAATGTTTTATAGCTTTCATATGTTTTGGTTTATATAGTAAAGTATGAAACACTCAATTGATCTGCTTTTTTAAAAAGAAACTGCATCTTTGTACAAATACTTGTTTTTATTATATAAATGACAAGCTATAAAAAAAAAACACTTAAGTGAGAGCCTTTAAATACTGTAATAAAGGAAGACATCTTTGCCTTTACTTTTAAAGGCCTGACATCTTGTTTACAAATTCTACATGGATTAAACACAGATGTTTGCAAGGCAGAACACTAGGTCCTTGTTAGAGCAGGTTTGTGGCTTTTTTGTGTTTTTTAAAAGACAACTCTCCCAACTTAGTGACATTACAAAAATGCATATTGTTTACAGTTTTAACTAAATTGAGTTATAAGCTTTATTTGCTTTTGGTCTTAACAGAAAACGTTGTTCTTAATTCTTCATGTAACATTTTTTTATTGGTAGGAGTAAGTCAAATATTTCTGGGACTACTCACCTGAAAGTTGACTATAAATAATATATTATATATATATATATGGAAAAAAAAAACCCTAGCTGATAGATGCAGTGTAAGTATAGTAATACCCAGAGAGGACTCTGTGCTCACTGTGTAGTATTGGGTACTAAATAGCAGAAGCTGTGTCAAACTTTGGAGACGCACAGATGCATATGTTTGGGATTCTGTTTTTTTTGAACCAGAGATGCTTTTAACTGATCTTAAGATTAAAAGCAATTAAATAAGAGAAGATTGTGTTACACTAATATGCCTTTTGAAATAGTCTAACCAAACCACTTCTAGCCTTCTAAGGGTACGACTCTCAAATGTATGTCTGATGTAAATGAAACATGTGACTTCTGTTCCCCTGATTCACCTTCCTGGAGAAGTGAGAAATTCTAAAAGACTTCAGTTTCTTAAATCTCCTGTCTTGCTTGCTTTGCCTTAGTTCTGCCTTCAGTAGCCCATCTCTGTTGTTGGAGATTCCTGGCTGACTTGATCCATATTTGTCATAGACTTCATAGCACTAAGCACGAATATGACTTTTATTAGCATCTGCCAAATAGCTGAACAGCTAAGAAAGGCCCTTGGTCTTCCTATTCCTGAAGCTTGTAAACTTTCCTTGAGATCCTTCGCAAATGAGAACTTTGAGGGTAACACTTCTGGTTTTGAGTGTTCCTAAGTATTTGTTATCGAACTCTGTTTTCCTCCATTTAATTTTGAGGAATGTACTGGTATTTATTTCAAATACATACCTATTGGCATGTGATAGGTACCTGAAACGTAGAGGTAGAAGTTCCCATCTGCTAAAACGCCACCAGGATGCAGCACAAAGGGTCAGAAGACTGAGCTGCTCCTTCGGAAAGAAAAGGGACTGGCCCTTTCACTTGTTCGTACAACCAGTTCAGGTCAAGAGAATCTGTGTGACTGGTACCACTGCTTTTTGGTTATCTGTTCTGCCCCGACTGTTTTCTGCAGAATGGATGAACTACAGCTCTATAAATTACTTCTAGAACACAGTAATAAGAACTTAATTTTGTTCTGCAACATCAGCTTGCCCCACAGCTGCTGGACTTTTAGCCCATGACCAAGTGCCGTTTGGTTCATAAATCTCCTGTAAATGTCTGTCTTACGCTATTTTTGGAATAGTGTCTTTTAAGAATAATTCTGTTCCCCTTAAGGCGTTATCTCGCATCTTCTGTTTTCTTGTTTTACGTGTACTGAGTAAGTCCCAGCTCGGTGATTTTCATCTGTGTGTTGGATTAACTGTGTATAAAAGCAGATCTGAAAGACAAACAAAAAAACCACAACACCCCCCCACCCCCTACCAAAACACCTGTATTTTCCTAATCTGTGGTATTTTATATAGAACTTTGCAACTGTATTTACCATAAAATCAGATTATGTTCTAATACAGTATCTTGAATTAGGATAGGATAAGCAGGACAGCAGCTTGGATGCTTTTAACCTTTGCAAAGATTGGCATTACATTAGCTCTCTAAACTGCCTTTTTCCTTTTTTTCTTTTTTTTCTGAATTTGCCCACTGCTAATGAGTGACTTGACCCACTTTTTTTGAGATGATTAGGAAGCAGCTTGTCTGGCCCTCTGCAAGTGTGTTTTACTGACTTAAAGTCTAGCAGTTACTGGGGGGTGGAAAAAAACAAAACATAAGCCCCTGGTTTTTTAACAACCTTCTTCCTACATCTTTGCCTCTTCTTATTAAGCGGGAAACACACCTTTTGTCTTTCTACATGTTGGAAGAACAATGTCTTCTCAGGCAGCGGGTTGCTGCTTTTGGTGGCGTAACGGGAGGGAAAAACTCAAGCACTGTGTGATGCTTTCTCCTTAAAATGAAGATTATTCATGTGCTACAATGTTCCCTTTACTAATGTTGACTTTTACGTAGAGTACACCAAGCCTGTACAGATTCTCCCCTTGAGGTTAAGACAAAACCAACACTGAATATTAAAGATAAGCCTAAATTAGGATATTTGTGCACTTATAAGTCTCTCTGTCCTGTTAGTTTCTTAGACTTTATGGAGTTCAGTGTATTAGAAACAGGCATTCTGCCCCTGAGACATCTTACTGACTCTGCTTCAGAAAGTCAGTCGCTAGAACAGTTTTGCTGAATATGGCCCTGCGACTTACTTCATGTAGATAATAAATGTGATAGTTAACACTTTAAAATGGAGAAGAATGGGATCTCTGAACTGAGAAAGAATTTGTTGTCATTGCGCTAGAGGCCATTGCTGATTTCACTGTTAGATTCTCTCAAATGTTTTTAAAATAACAGGTTTTATGCATATAACTTACTCGGACAACCTCACCTTCTGGTGTAGAATAAATAGTACTTTTTCTATTCTAAACAAGCGGTTTTTAGCACTGCTTGGCACTGCTGCCAAGTCCATCTTGTGAAATTTAAGTACTTTGCACTGGGAATACTGAAGGCAGATATGCTGGCAAATTTAACTGAGATGTCTGTTCTGCAACTGCTGTGGAAAGCCACGTTCTACTGAAGGCTTCCTTAACCATCTATGGTCAAACTGTGCCCTAGATTCTTATGCTGCTTTCCTACCCAAGACACGACAATGCATAGTCGTGCCTAAGCCATGCTTATCCAGCTACTGCAGTGCTTTAGTGATGCTTCTGCAGGTGGCAGCATTGGGAGGTGGCAAGCACTATTGTAGGTTACAAATCTTCATTCATTGTCTGTGGCAGTCTCAAGCTTTTGTGATGTTTTTAGTGTTGGGGACTTCTACCAGGTATCAAGAATGGAATGAAAAGTAGCAAGCAGGTAGTGAATGCAACTAGTGATCTCAGTCATTGTGCTAATTAGAGGCAGTTGCTGATTTCATTGTTAGGTTCTCTTGAGCTGCTATTTAGTGTTGAAGGATGTTGTTTGACTCACCTACGTGAATTTTCATGCTTGGGATGATCTGCTGGTCATCCTAAGAGATGACCAATGGATCGGTGATTTTCGTTTAGAAATTTTTCTTTCAACATTCTTTTCAATATTTTTTCTTTTAAATATTGTAACTATTATTCCACAGGATGAGGAAGTTAAACTGTTGCTTCCTGCAAATACAAAATCATCTCCTGAAGTATGGGGAAACGTGTATTGTGTTTTTCCTGCTTCTCATGTAAATCGTTAACTGTCTTAGAGTGGAAACTGTTTACTTTGTCAGTAACTACCTCCTGAGTTCGGCAATAATTGGCAAGGTATACACTCCTCCAGTGGATTAAATGTATTGGCTAAACACTATGGGTTCTTCAGCGTTTGATCTTTTGATTTGCAAATTCTTGACATGATGCCTGGAAACTATGGTGATCAACCTTGTTTTCCTGTAAGACTTTCCTTGCCTTTGTAAGACGCGCTTCTTAAAATTCTGATTCAGAGAAGTGGCTGTGAGGAAAGAGGTCAACATTCTTTGTAGTTGGTTAATATAGGCATATTCTTCTAAGATGCTAGGGGTGTAGCCTCTTGGTCCTGCAGGTTTTTTTACCGTTAGAAGTGAGGAAGAAAGTACTTTATCTCATACTTGCACACCTATCACAGAGACTGGAAATACAGAAAGTGTTTTTGCCATGTGATTCAAATTTTTATTCCTGTGAAGGGCTAGTCAGTATTTTTCAGAAATCTGGATTAAAGCGATAAAAACCAAAGGTGGAAACAAAACACTATACCCCACCCCCATTAAATATATTGGGTGACTCCAGTCTGGGATGGGGTTAATTCTTGTATTTTGTTGTTTTGAAGCACTTTTGTTTCATTGTTCTTTTAAGAATGTTTTCTGAAATGTTGAACACCATTTTACTAATAAGCAATGTAAAAACGCATGATGAGCAGTCACATAGCTTTAGCTTCACAATAAAGTGTTGCATTTGTCCTGTTCTTACTGTTTTCTTATCTGTTTATCAGATAAAATGTCCAAAACGAAGAGCCTTTTCATTAGACCTGAAGCCTACTAAATTGCTGCTGGTTTTAAAAAAAAAAAAAAAAAAAAAAAAAGGGGGGGGGGGTGGTGTTGTGTACCAGGTGATGGAACAATAAATATCTAAATACCTCATTTAGTTTCTAAAGGACGTAACTCAAGTTCTTAAAACTAATGTAAACAGAAGTGCTGCTTCCTAAATAAATGTGCTGAAACTAAAAGTATGTGCTTATCCTAGTCTTGCTAAATCACAGTGAAAACCCAGAGGTTTCACATAACTAACTCTGGTAGTCCTGGTGAAGTCCTGAAAATAGCTATTTGGAGCCAATTTACTTAGTATCAAAATGGCACCTTTTATTGCGCTGCTGTTATTTTTGAGGTAACAATCTAAATTCTTCACTTATCCCCACATCTTACTGTTTGTAATTCTTTCTAGCCATTGTCTTGAGGCTGCAGCTGGACTGCTAAAAACTACTGGGGCTTTCTGTTCTTACGGTTACATCCTGAAGATAAGAGGGGAAAAAAAAAAGTTGGACTAGAGTTATTTTAATATTACGTATCTGGCAGCATTAGGGGTCTGTCAAAAAGCAGCCGTGACCACTGCCTTCAACATGTCATTGTATCTACCACTTTTAAAGCAAGCAAACCAAATAAAAATCAATACAGCAATCAGGAGAAAAACCCAATGTTTTGGACTGAAGCGTAAGAGCTATTGCTGCTCCTGTCAAGCATTAATTCCTTGGGATAGAGAGATACCATTGTTGTCTACGTGGGATAATTATCCAGTATCTCCCTCTGGCTGAAATGCCACTACTTGGAGGTAGATTCTGAACCACTGTAATTATTTCAATTAGCAATTTTGTGTACAGGTTACAGATACTCAAATAGACTTTTATTCTTGTAGAGGAGATGCTCACATAAATTTAGCGAAGAAGCAAGAGCCTGAAAACAATTTCCCAGCACTTGCTGTGTTGAATTCTACAGATTATGGACTTGGCAGCATGGTCTGAAGTGTGTTAGACTAGTTAAAAGATAAATGTCTTCCCATTCCAGCCAAGATGGTGTGAGAGAAGGCTCCATGCCTAGTGTCAGGTGCAGGCATATTTCAGATTAAATCTGTTTATTTCTGTATTTTAATGTTTTAAGTTTGCCACAAAAAGTGAGAAAAATTAGCTTAAGGTTTTGTGGGTTTTTTTTTTTCCACTCAAGCTATCTTCCTGCAAATTTCCAAATACTTTGCGAACTTGTGAAATCCAGCCTGTTTCATGCAAGGCTGCTATATGGCTCTGGAACAGACGAGTTGTGCAACCTTCTCCAAGTCATTTTTTTTATTCTGTGTGTAATGATAATACAGAAAATATTATGTAGTGGTGTGGTGAAGGCAGAAAGATATAATTTAACTAAAATCCATCTCTTGACACATGCGAGTGATTTATTGGTGCTGTGGTGTAGCAAAAAAAAAAAAAAGTGGGCATTTCAGAAGCCTACAACCAACCTAATGAGCAAAGTGTGTTGTTTTTACCAAATGCTTTTGGAGATTCCACTTTTTTTGCAAATATATATATTGTAAGCACAGTATGTTCTTTCTAATATTGTAACTTCTATTATTTTCAAATCTCATTTTAGTAATTTCTAAAAGGCCTCAAACTTGCCTCAGTTGTAAGACATCCTTGAAGACTGTTAGTTTTGTTATATGCAGAATACTTGTATCAGCTGTGCTATTAGTCATCGTATTTCTCTTCTGTGAATTGCAGAAGTGCAATTTCTTATGACTGTTTTCCTCTTCTGGGAAAAAATATGCTAAGACATGAAATAATCAAAAAGCCTGATAATGTGTCAATAATGAAGTAACCAAATAACTTTGTATTTGTGGAGCATATACAGATAAAATGTTGCCCCTGTGGTTCACCTGACTTCTGATTTCCTGGTTAAATTTGAGTGGAGGCAGCGGCTGCAGCCTGTGGAGAGTTTACATACCACAACACTGCAGTTGGAATTCTCTTACCTGTCATGCAAATTTTACAGACTGCAAAAGGATTTTTTTTTTAATTATTCCCAAAACTACTTCTGTACACTGGAAAAAAATTCTTTATCACAGTCAACAGCTTAGAATGAGCAGGTCTGAGACATTAAATACGTGTCTCGTGGAATACAATTACCTGTCCAGTCACTCCCAACCCACGGTCAGGTAAGTCTTTTGGTGTGTTTCACAGAACAGATTAGATGCAAATAACATTTTTAACCACTGTAACTATGGTCACTGGACAACTGAGTAGACCATTAAAAGACCAAAGACAGCAGTGTTACAGAAGGTTGTTTCAAGTATCTTCCTAGGCACAATAATCTGTCTTAATAAAGTATCTAGCTTCAATTTTTATTCCTACGTCTTTTCACCCATTTCCCAAAGGCAATGATAAAGAAGCTGTCTTGTGACTAAATCTTTCTGTACGTTAAATCCCATGGAGGTGTTTTGTAACACAGTTTTTTTTTAACCGAGCTATCCTAACTTCCAAGAAAACTTCAGTTCTGTATTTTGTTCCTTCTGACAGAAACTATGGGGCACAGTTTAGTAGTGTGCTAGTCAGGTCGCACAAGGAGATTACTGTCACCTTGCAGCCCTCGTGCCCCCGTGTTCCAGAGCTTCAGTACCTTAAATGTGGCTCTGTGTTTTCCTTCCCACAAAGTCCGCTCCCTGCTTCGTACCACGACAGACTTTGGGATGGCGTTAGACTGCTCAGTCGTAACGCTTCCAATGTTTTAACGTATTCAGAGCGATGGGAGCGGTTCTCAGAACTTCAGCACACAAAGCAGCAACTACATTTTCAGCAAGAAGAGTTCCTGTGGTTCCGAGAGCTACTGCCCTGTCGAAATTTTGCATACTGCTGGAAAAACATCCACTCTGAAAGATGCGTACTTACTGCCGTTAATGCAGAATACAGCAGTAGTGACGCTATCGTGATTTTAGGTGTATTTCTGTATGGAGGAAGTGGTGAAACAAAACCGTCCTTGCGGCTTGGAGTATCGTGACCACCGCGGCGGGAGTCCTTTCTTTGAATTCTCACAGAAAACGGGCAGACGAAATGCAGAAATGCAGTGGGATTTCACTCGAAATCCGTGTATCGCAAGGGAGGGCTGTCGGGCTGAGGTAGCTGGGGCGGGCAGGGCCTCTGCCGCCACCTCTCTGCCTGCCGCCTGCCTCCGGCTCGCAGCACGCCGGCTGAGGGGACGACGCTGGCCGAGAACGAATCGACTGTGGGTTTCCGTGCGCTGCCTCCGGGGAAGGAGGGGCGAGAGCCGGGACCAGGACCGGGACCGGGACCAGGACCGGCCTCCCCTGAGCGGAGGGGAGAAGCGCCCCGCTAACGGCCCAAGGCGGGAGCCCGTGC